CAGATGCGCTGAACAACTTCTATTCATGGTGGTTCGATGCTCAGAATGACGTGATGGTGAGGAAGTCCACGGCTCCTCACAACGACCAGGTTCAGTTTCTGACCACGGCTGGTGTGAGGAAAACTCTTCCCATAGTTAACCCACGGGAGGCTGCTGGTCCAGATAACATCCCTGGAAAACTGCTCAGAGAATGTGCAGACCAGCTGGCAGATGTCCTCACTGACATCTTCAACCTCTCCCTGATCACTGCTGTCATTCCAACGTGCCTCAAGGCCACCACCATTGTTCCCGTGCAAAATAAGTCCTTAGTGTCCTGCCTCGATGACTACCGTCCCATTGCACTCACACCCATCATTATGAAGTGCTTTGAGAGGCTCGTCATGAGGCACATTAAGACCCTGCTGCCCCCCTCACTGGACCCACTGCACCCCAATGGGTCAACAGATGATGTCATCACCACCACCCTACATCTGGCCCTCACTCACCTGGACAGTAAGGACACATATGTACGAATGCTGGTCATAGACTTCAGGTCATCATTCAACACAATCATTCCTCAGCTCCTGATTGGAAAGCTGAGCTTGTTGGGCCTGAACATCTCCCTTTGCAACTGGATCCTGGACTTTCTGACTGAGGGACCTCGGTCAATCCAGATCAGAAATCACATCTCCAACACCACCATACTGAACACTGGAGCCTCTCAAGGCTGCATGCTCAGCCCACTGCTGTTCACTTCGCTGACTCACGACTGTGCAGCAATGCACAGCTCGAACAACATCATCAAGTTCGCCGATGCCACGACTGTGGTGGATCTCATCAGCAAGAACGGTGAGTCAGCATGCAGAGATGAGATGCAACAGGTAACGGACTGGTGTAAAGTCAACAACCTGTGTCTGAACGTGCACGAAACATAAGAGATGATTGTTGACTTCAGGAGAGCACGGAGCAGACACTGTCCACTGAACATCGATGGATCCTCTGTGGAGATCGTCAAGAGCACCAAATTCCTTGGTGCTCCCCTGGCGGAGAACCTCTCTTGGTCCCTCAACACCAGCTCCATAACCAGGAAAGCCCAGCAGCATCACTACTTTCTGTGAAAGCTGAGGAAAGCCCATCTCCCACCACCCATTCTCACCACCTTCTACAGAGGGACTATCGAGAGCATCCTGAGCAGCTGCATCACTGTCTGGTATGTGTAGCAGGGTGGACTTTTGTGGTAGAATTGATTATTTCCGGTAGGGGCGTGTATTTTACATACCTTGCCGGTATAAAAAGGCAAGTGGATAGCACACCTACAGTATGGTGCGGTGCCGTCATTGGCATTTCCTGATCCGGTAACCCCCTCCCCCTTCCCGGACTGCAGTGGCTTGGTGTGGAATGGTGGCACGCTGGCTGTGCGTTATCTTTATTGTGTGTCTTGGCGTATCGGGAAGCGAGAACAAGTGCGCTTTGTGGGTGCAATTGCGTTGCAACTCCAGGATTATGGTCTCAATTTGTCATCTGTTCCGGTGTACGTCTCTTCAAGTAGGCAATGTAAAAGTTTGGGCCTGCACTGTCGCTGCTGTTTTGCCTACGTTTGTTTTGTTTCGTGTTCTGTTCATTTTGGTTTTTTTGGCTATTCAACGCTGCCCGACAACTGATTGAACGCTCCTGATCGTGGGAGTCTTGGGACGCATCAAGGATCTGGTCATAGATCCTTAGATCCTAAGTTAATCTTTCCATACATTCATACAGACATATAAAGCTACAGCCATCCACCCATCTATCTTCTAACCCCTCCTGCTGGTCTGTTTCCTGGTTCCTGGAGCAGTTAATTTCCCTAGGATTGTGGTTTAACAGACGCTGGGGCTGCCCTTCCTGTTGGGGACTGCTACAGGGAAATTATTGTTGTTCGTTGTTTTCTTGTCCACTGATTTTTAGTATAATACCACGCCGATTCGTGGTTACTGTTATATACATTTTTTACTTTTCCGTTTGTGGTATACCAGTGGCCGTCGTTGGTTGACCGGCTGGGGAACAGAATTGATTGGTCTGGGGTGGTGGTCATACGTTCACCATGTGCTGTATAATTGTGTGGTGGAGCACGTGTGTGTGTTTGTGTGCGTGTGGTAGTGGACTTAATTCCCCCTTTAGATCAACTTTAT